GGATGCTGGGCCCGGTTCCCAGCACGTGCGGCTCCCCACGAATAGATTGGAGTATTGTCCCCCCCCAAAAAAAAAAAGAAAGAAAAAAGAAAAAAAAAAGGAGTCTGTATCCAAATGTCGTCATGATCCCGAAGTCACAAATCTCTCTCTCTCTCTCTCTCTCTCTCTCTCTCTCTCTCTCTCTCTCTCTCTCTCTCTCTCTCTCTCTCTCTCTCTCGTAGTCTGCCGATACTGAGAAGTCAGGTAGCTGGAAGAGATGGTGGACTGGAGGAATAGGAAGAAGAAGAAGAAGAACTCTCTCCCTCTCTCTCTATCTTTCTCTTGGTGCCCGGTACTAACCTGTGAAGCTGGCGCCTTGCTGCAGGTACCTCGAAGACGAAGCTGGAGCGATGGCGTCACAGGTAAGTCTCCCTGGCCTCCGCCTCTGTCCTCTCTCTTTAACGCAACACTGAGCGCCCAGCGCTGAAGACTACTCCTATGTCCTTCTACTGCAGCGCTCCGCCGAGTGCTGCTGCCGAGTGCCCGAAGACTGCCTCCTGAACTGCCTGTGCCCTCCTGGGCGGACCAGTACTATATAGTGCTGGTCCAGCTGGGAGGCTGCTCTTGCCAATGCCAAATCGTGCCAGACCCTGGCGCCCAAGTTCAAAAAACGGTTGTCTTGAAACAGGCCTAAAATGGCCTGCGCTTTTCCCCGGTGTGGTGCCTAAGTTTCAGGAAAGGTCGACTTTAATAGGGCCTAATATTGGCCCTCCTTTTAAAGCTGAAACGACACAGGGCCTGGAGGGCCCTTATCCCTTGTTCCGCCTGGTCGGGCCTTGCAGGCCCGTGTGGTGCACAGTATGCCACACAGAGCAGACCTACTAGGGGGGGTGATACGAGCAGCCTGTTCGCTGAACAGCGTACAAAGAAGAGAAGAAAAAAAAAAGCATCCCTTATGCTGTGATTGCGGTGTACTAGTGTGAGGCAGTTAGGGCCTCTTTCGACACCACTAGAGAACCCTAGAGTCTCAAGTGCGCCCTCACCCGAAAATAGTGATTAAAAAATACTTACTGCAATCTTCGTTCCATGTGCACTTCACAAAATACTTGAAACACTCACACCCGTGTTGGTCATAGACCCCGCGAGTGGGTTGTGTGTGGTGTATGGGAGAGTGTTGGCCATAGCCTCTGCTGCTACTCGATGAGGGGTGGGGGATGATGAGAAAGGGAGGCGCAGCTACTGGCAAAATGCTCGGTCTTTGTGTTAGCCGGACCCCCACCCCATCTCTGACTACCGCTGTTGGGGTTGGGGGCAACATGAATTACCTCGTTTGTGAGGCCCTATGCTTGCAGGGGTCCCCTCTATATAGTCTTAGGAGTAGTGGTAGGAAGGTAGTGAAAGGCAAAAAAGAATTTGAGAGAAGAACATAGTGTAGTTGAAAAAAAAAAAAAAAAAAAAAAAAAAACTTGAAACGGCCGCACTTGAAACCGAACTCCATGGCTTGACCAATCCTGGACCAGGATTGCCTTTTGGAAAAGAAGAAAAACAAAAAAGCCCCACTTGGAGTGCTGGCGGTATCCACTGGCACTTGAACTCAAGGCTCCAGGCTCCCGGGAGAGGTACCTTGAGCTCAAGTGCGAGTTTGCCCCGGCGGCACTTGAGTTTAGAGGGCTAGCACTAGAGAGCCGGAAAGTAGAAACAACTCCGCGCCCAGGTTAGGGTGGGGTCGAAAGAAGAATTTTCCTTCAACCCTTGAGTTCAAGTGGTGTCGAACGAGGCCCTTAGATGCCCTGCGTGGAATACCCGCTGGCAGGGCACCAGAAAGACATGCAAAGAAGAGAAAAAGAAAACAAAAACTACAGCAATCCCATTCCACACATAATGGCCAGATTCATTCCTCAAAGCACTGGTGTGACTTCCACCTCTGTGAGGGCCTTTCTTTATAAAAAAAAAAAAAAGCTATATTCTTCTCTCAATTTCACCTCAGACTACCTACCTACCAACGTCGCGGGATTCGAAGTTCTCTAGTTTCTTTCCTTCGTTTTCGTTCTTTTTTTCATTTTCCTAGTTTTTGGCCTCCAACCCTGCCCCGAGCCCGCAACTTTTTCGGAATAGGCTATTTGTATGGCTTAGGGACCCAGTGTACAAGGTAGGGGGCCTGCGGTCCCTACTAGGGGGGTTGGTATGAGCAGCCCCTCCTAGTATATGAGCAGCCCCTCCTAGTATATGAGCAGCCCCTCCTAGTACATGAGCAGCCCCTGGCCGCTCCATCTATTGGTGGGGAGCTGCACCTGCTGGAAAACGGGTCCAACGGCCCTTATCCAGATAATAAATTCAGACAAGATCCAGACTCCACCACCGCGGGTCTGGTCCTTGGCCTCTACAACACCCTGGGATTAAAAGAAAAGAAAAGGAAAGGAAAAAAACATCCAGACTCCGCCAGCAATGTTTGCCCAGGAAGCCCCGGGGATCAACTGAGTGGATAAGTTTCTGTTGTATGCTGACCGTGTCTTGAGGGGTGCTGCAAAGCGGCCTCGGCCTTCCGGAGGGGCACTGTTGGTCGAAGTTGCTCTGCAGCCTGCAGGTAGGAAGTCGTGAAAATGTTGGAAAGTTACGAACTTGGGTAGCCCTGGTGCCCGCAACTGCTATTCGGTCGAGGTCATGCTCTGAGATACTGAGGTGATAGTCCAAGGTGATTAACACTGCGGTAGGATAGTACTAGGAATATAGGGGGTGCGCTGGGAGAATTGATGAGAGGATGGGTTGGGAGGCAGTCTGAGGTGGGGCGCGCTGCCTCATAACCTGGCAGTTGGCGGTGTGAGGCCTGATTAAGGCTTGGTAACGAGGTTGGACATCAGGCAGGCTGAGGATTGGGATACTTAGTAGCATCTGAGTGACTTGAGTTGCTCATATGTTTTGTGGATTCACTCATTTAGACCCTTTGATCTAGTTTTGCATAGATGTATGGTTTTTTTCCACTAGCCCCTTCGAGGCTGTCTCAATTAGTACTTGGTTTGGTTTGTTCTTAAAAAATGAAGAAGATGAAGGATGGGACCTATAGCTATGGTGCTGATTGGTGGCTTGACTGGTATTTGCCTTAGTCCTGAGTCCCTGTGGTTTGCGAAAAGACGGGTCCAGAACGATGCTGGTCGGTGCTGGGGCTTGGCCGCGCTGCCCTGTAACTCGAGCTGAATGAGGGCATGAGACCTGGTAGAGAGATCTGGTCACGGGTGGAAGTCACTCTAGTGTCTTTCGGTGAGCTGGTGCCTAGTCGATGCTGGCCGAGCCAGGGTGGGTCGCTTTGCCCTGTGGTCTAGCAGGTGGGAGTTTTCTGCGGTGGGTCATGCCACTCTGTAACCTAGCAGTTGGGGGCATGAGGCCTGGTAGAGATTAGGCATCGGGATATAGGGGTGAGGCAGGTAGGGTTGGGCTGCTGAAAGGCCCTAAGGCAGGTGGTTTTTTCAGAATGTTTTTTTGTTTCGAAGAGAATTTTAGTGTTTTTTGTGTAGATTACACAGTTGTCTTTCGTAGCAAAAGCCGGGTAATGGCCCCGGCACCTCAAGGATCTCTCCATGAATTTCTCATTTTTTCAATGTGATCCTGAATGGGACACTGGGGGAGGCAGTCTCACAAATGGAACAATTGTCAGGACAACCAATGGCTGGCTCATGCAGCGACCACCGTGTGTCTGGAACCTGGCCTCTACAACAACCTGGGCACATCAAAAAGTTGCCTAATCAAGCAAGATTGGCATCATCAGGCAGGCAGATGCACACAGATGCAGGCTCCCCCAGGCCACTTTGCAAGAACGGAAAGGAGTATGATCAGCTCCATCTGACTAGGGTCACGACTTGGGATGGCCAAGGTACCTTTGCGTTTGGGTATGTCCTACCCAAACACAAAGACCTCAGCCGGTGGCGCCTGATCTTGCCTACCTACATTGAACCATCAAAGCCCGCCATACAGGCCAGGTACGAGTGACCTGGGAGCTCCGCAAGTCCCACGGGAAGTCCTCTGTCGTAACCTGGTTGTAACGGCCCAGGTCCGGCACTGAGGTAGTATCCATGCATGCTGCACGCTGCGCTTGTACTCGTATGTCCTTTTGCGTATTATTGAGAAATTTTGTATGTACGGATCTATTATAGTAGATTTAGAAAAACTGTGTGTTCTCGGCCTGATAAGGGCGCAGGTTCAGTGGAGTATGATTTAGGGAGATTTGTTAAAATCGTAAATATACCTGGCCAGTACCTTGGTCCAGGGGACTATAGTAAGAGAGCGTGCTACCTACCGCGCTTACAGGAACGTAAATATATAAGACCGGTTGTCCGGTATCATAGGCCTCAATCTGAGTGGCGTGTGAGTGTGAAGGATTGAGTATCCTCGACGCAGGGTTTGTTCAAGGAATGTGGGGAGGAAGGTGACAACGCTATGACATGTAATACTCATGTTATCTTCTTCTTTTTATGATCCATCATTGTGTTAGTCTTTGTGTTGATGGTACAGAGCCTCAGACTCGACCTTGCCGTGCCTTGGGAACGAGTCTGAGGTGCCGTTCTCTTCGAGATCGTTGCGCTCACTTGTTCACTTGTTCATCTTTTTATCTTTTTATCTGGTATTTTTTTACCGTTATCTTTTCAATCAATATATTTCTTCGTTCATTATTTATTCATCCATGTGAGATCCTTTACGTGACTCTCTATGGAGATTTTTCTTGCGTGATCGTACGCAATTTCATATACGATTGGTGTGCAATATTTTGTGTTTGGGTACGTGTTCGCGCAGTACGCGCCTTTGTTTGGCACTTCTCACGCTCAACTCTTTGGGGTAGGGTGCGTAAGCGTCATCGCTTCGGTGCTCGTATGCCGTAGATTGGATACGTGGCATTTCTGCCGCTACTATGTGTCGCGATGCTGTGGCGCCTTAACGGACGGACTGCACTCCCGCGTGTGCTTCCTGTACCGGTAGCGCTGCGGTCCGGATATTCGGAGTGATCGTGTCGGGCTGACGTACGATCGCTATTGCGGGTATCCACAAGCATGTGCAGCGTGTGATGTCCTGGCATGTTAAGCTGTGGAATTGGGAGATTGGCGAGCGGCCGCAGCACTCCAATTGGTCAGTTGCCCGGGGATTGGGTTGGTACTAGTAGCGTACACCATTCTGAATCGTATGTACGGTCGAGGCCGTAAGGGCGGTGGCCGACGCGGGAGGTGGTCGAATTGTGGGCGATATTGGTCGAACATGAATCCGTCAGGCAACTCGAACCAGCTGGGCAGCGGGGGACAGTACCCCGGTGGGATGCCCGCCCAGCAGACAGGGCTGCCCCAGCAGCACCAGGCGCCGGCCGTGGCGCATGTATCGATGAACGGTGGACAAGCCCCGGCGATGGTGACGCCCGGCGTTGGGCCAGCAATGTCTGGGGCATATAACCCGCCGCCGTGGGGTATGCCGATGTGGCCAGGTCCATGGCATGCGCCGGGACAGTGGGGGATGCCACCCGCGTGTATGCCATCCGCTAGCATGCCACCTGTTGTCATGCAAACCAATATGCAACCAGCTCAGCTCCCGCTTCCTCCTCCCCCTCCTCCTCCTCCTCTATCTCTTCCTACGCAATTGCAAGTGCCTAGTAATGACGCCAGACCGGCGAATGCTGGTGGGAAAGGACCGTCTGCCAATGCTTTCCCTGGCCCTGGGAATAGGGCCTATTTTACGAAAGAGTATATGGACATATTGGAAGACATTAAGTCCAACAAGGTGCTTGAAGATGCAAGGAAGAGGCTGGCGAGTGGTCGACGTGGCAACATCCGAATCCCTGAGAACACTGTGGAGAGCTGCATCTCAGAGGTGAGATCGGTCGACAAGAGCGATGAGATGAAAGCCTAGGTCACGACAACTCTCGGCGATTCATTAAAGGAAATCACACAGAAGTTGGAGCAAGTCGACTCTAAATCAACGTTGGCTAATTCTGAGAAGGAGGAGCTTGAGAGACTAGAGCTGAGAAAGCCCTGTTCGACAGAGGGAAGAAGGAATCGAGTAGTGAGAAGAGAAAGAGGGGGGGGGATCGAACCCCGGCCGTCGAGACGCCTAAGGAGAACGTGGGAAAGTCCAGGGCGCGCGGTCTAACGAAGAGCCGAACGAAGAGGATCGAAATCTCCTCTGATGAGGAGGCAGCGGGGGCCGCCGGCGTGCCAAACTTGAAGAGAGCTCTGACCTCGCCGATGTAAGAAGCTGCTTGCCGCGCCGGTGGATGGTTTAGCAGACCCAAATGGGAAGCGACCTGTCGGGCCCGCAGGAGAGTCACCAGGGGCGAAAGGTGCTGTAGACTATGCGGAGAAAGGTGAGGATGTGGATGTGGCAGTTCAGGGCAACGTGTCATAGAATAGCTGGGTCGACGAGGATGATGAGGAATCAGATGAAGGCGGGCTGGCTGCTTATATGAAGATGCGGTTGGAATTCTACTCGTCTCTCCACTACACTCGAGTGCAGGAGATGTGCAAGCAGCGGGAAGTGCAGTACTTCCATAAAGAAATGGGGGCCTGGGAACTTGCCCGAATTAACCTCCAGGAGTATGTCGACTCGCTGCATGCAGACCCCCCATCTGAGAAGGGGGAACCATCCGGACGCAACGTCGGGTCAAGCCGTGGTGTGAATGCTGCTGTAGCTGAAGGTGATCCAGACAGCAGCCTTGCGGGGAAGTGACACTCGGGAGTCTACCCTCCCTGAGGAGAGCCGCTGCTAGGATTATAAAGTTTAAAAGCCGGGTGAATGGGGCGTTGGCTGCGCTGTTGAATGATGTGCACACCCTCTTGATACTGCTGGCTTGCCTGCGTGACAAGATTGCTTGGGGACGAGCCTATGTGGGTTCTTGGCTACGCATGTCTCCCTGGGAGTGGGAGCAGATGCTACATGGACAGTGTTGTGTGTATGCTCTGATGTCCTTGAATCACAAAGCAGTCTATGTTGGCAAGACCACACGCACGTTAAAAGAACGGTGGGGTGAGCACCTTAGGGTTGTTAAGGGTAATAACAAACAACATGTGCACGTGTGGCTTCGCAAGACTGGGATGGAGCATTATGCCCCGATACCAATCTGGTTTGGGGATGCACCGGCTATAGATGGTATGGAGAGTAAGAGCAGTCATAATCCTGGCTTAAACATGATCGGGCGGAAGAAGAAACAGAAGCCTCGTCTATGTCGTACGAGGAAACGAGGGGCCGATAGAGCTCCGCCAAATGTTGTGTATGAACCACTGTTTTTTTACTGCCCGGCGGTGGCTATGCGGCAGGAACCGGACCTGCTCAAGATTTTGAAAGCACTAGCTAAGCAGAAGGTAAAAGGGACGAAGCTAGTATGCAATAATAGTGGGGCACGGTGGCTGAAAGCCTGGAGGCTGGTTCAGTTGTTGTTTGGCTTCACAAAGATTGAGAAGCAGGGTGTGCGTATGCTGTTGAAAGATGCTAGAGCTACGATTGAAAGTGGGGGTAGTTGGTCTATTGTGGGTCTATTCCATACTAAGACCAAAACTGAACTCTTGAAAGCCGAGCGGACTGCTCTGTTAAGAGCGCCATGGAAGCACCGCGATTTGTTTTTACTATCGTTGGTGGAGTTGATCGATTTGAACAACGGTGTTAAATCGATTAACCAGTGCAGGGGTCGGCAGATCGTCCGTGGAATATTGACCAATGTGTTCAAGAAGAAGTTTGGGATCAACCCTTGTTTGAACATTGTTATAAAGATCCCGTTCTGCACAACTATTAACAAATGTAATGTTGAGCGCGTTGTGAAATCTTGGATTTTGGAGAGAATTCGACCAATTACGTTGGTTGAACTGTATGCCAGAGTCTGGCTGAAAGCCAGGCTGAAAGTCAGGACCGTCGGCGATATCCTGCATAACCAGAAATCCTTCTCTCAGATGGAGTCGTTCGACTGCTCCTGTGCGGGATTTGACCTGCCAAAGATGAATGGGCACGTTGCGGTAAAGCTCAGTGAGATTGATCATGTTAAGTCTTTCCTATTCAACACAAAGAATGTGTCGTTTCCTGGCATCTTCATGACGAAGGATGCATTAGGCAAGAGTTGTAATGAGGCGGTGGAAGTCTTGACACAGTCACTTGGCATATCTGAGTATGTCAAGATAGACTGGCGCGACGTATGCAGGCCAGGTGTTGGGATGACCGAGGGCTGTGTGCGTAGTGAGTATGTGTGTGGGGTAGCCCAGGCATTTAAAGGGCTAGTCATGTCGTCACTAGATCGTAATACTAGTGAGACATGGTTGGTGTGCCCGAAACTGTAGGAAGCTGGCCTCAGGATGATGTTCCAAGATAATGAGAACTATATGACAGTAAACTGGCCAAAGGGATCCCTTTTAATAGGCTTTATCGTTTTTTCGTCCCCTTCCCCCTCCCCCTCCCTTTTTTTTTTTTTTTTTTTCTTTTTTATTTCTTTTTTTTTCATTTTCTTTTCTTTCCTATTTTTTTGGTTATCCTTTTTTCAGACCGTAGGATTGCTACTTGGAACATGTGAGTAGGAGCGGTACCTTCCATTGGAAGACTGCTATTCTTAGCTAGGCACCGCAACTAGATCAGAACGGAGCGCAGGGGGTTCTATTCATCGAACCATCGTGTGGTAATTGGTTCTGACAGCGGACGGAGCACGGTGCATTCTGGTTTTGTGCCGCGAAGAGTTGAGTAGGGTGACGGCTGACATGAATTTCTTCGCCGACTGGGACTTGGAGGAAGTGGTAACGTCCCCGACAAGCGGCACCCTCCCGGTTTTGCCTTCGTGTCCCGACGCCTAAGCACGCCCTGGCCGAGCGTCATGCAGGCCGCCTCTACCTGCCCCGCCGAACCTGCTTTGCCTCACCTGTGCCCCTCCGAGTCGGCACGAAACGCCGCTTTCCTGCTTCTCCTCCTCTTCGCTCTGCTTCCGAATCTCGTCATAGCCAGCGCGCTCTTTGCTGCTTGCCTCTCTGAGGAAGTCTTTCTCCGCTTATCCGCTAGGCACTTTGCATTCTTGATCGGTAGTACCATCTGCTTCGCAACCCTCTTCCTCGCAAGTTGCTGCTGCCTTTTCTTTGAGCTAGGTGTTTTTTGGGGGCTTGCTGATTAGCTAGGGAACGAGAATAGCAAGAAGCGAAGGCGATGCAGCATAAATCAGTGGCGGAAACTTCGCCATGCGTCTTTCTGGACTTCCTCTCTCTCCTCTCCTTCCTTTCCTTTGTCTACTTCATCTACTCCCTTCCCTGTTCCTCTCCGCACGATCTCTCTTCTCCCCTCCCCCCCTCCCCCCCTCCCCAACCCCCGCCCCTCGACCCCAAAACCATCCATCATCCTTGTTTCACAACATCCCCCCTCGTAACCCTTCAACCTCCCCATCTTCCAAAGATCATGGAAGATGTCCCCCCCTCTGACGACGCCCACGTGGCATGGGGCAGAAAAGCGCTTTAGATAATTGCCATGCCCTTCCCGCAATTCGGCGAGATGATCCGCGCGGTTACAAGAACTCGCTGGGTCTAGAGGATAGAGCTGAAGCAGGATATATCTTTTTTTCCCCCCTGCCCTCTCCCCATTTCCCCTTCCGTCCCATTCCCCCTTCTCACCCTGTGTGGAACCACCTGGACGATTGACAGCAGCAGAGTGAGGTGTGCGGTATAATCAGTTGTTTTTCATATCGAAGGGACTTTTCATCTTGTTCATCAGTTCTTTTGAGCAGTGTTTTTTGTGGTCTTGATTGTAAGAACTGGCCTCTCCTTCCCTTAATTGTTGTGGCTTTCAGATGCACTCCTCTCCCTCTTCCTATTCGAAGAAGCATTGTTTACCCTTTCTTCCCTCCTTTCCTTTCCTCGCTCCCCTTCCTTTCTTTCTTTCTTTCCTTCCTCTCCTTCTCCCCTTCTTTCTCTCGTTCTTTCTTTCTCTCTTTCTTTCTTTCTCCTTCTCTCTCTCTCTCTCCCCCCCTTCTCTCCTCCTTTCTTTCCTTTGGTCTTTTCTTACTTCAGTTTTATCGTTCTGAATTTTTTTTCGAACTTTTTTCAAAATCTCTTCTGATTCCCGATTGATATCCTGCCTTTTTACCATTGATGACGATCTCACCGAGTTGGATTGATGAGTGCATTCTGCAGATGCTTGTATCTTCTCTATGACCTATTGGGTTTGCATTGTGGATTGTACATACATAGTGAATTCTTTTTAATGAATTGTTTTACAGGTTTGGAAATGGTTGCATGTTTGTGATGGCTCCTCGAAAAAAGAGGCACCCCCACCCCCCTCGCTTCGTTTCGCCACCGTCGCATAATTGGCTGACTTCAGCTAAAAACAGCCTCGTTTTTACCCTCACCGCAAATGGACACACGAATGGTTTTACCCTGCTGCGTTGGAAAATCGCCTCGGAGTCCCGCGTCTTGTATCTTGCTCACAGTGTGCCGACGCATTCAGTCGGAGTAGCGCGGGTATGACGTGTCGTGCTCGTGCGAAACTCATGTAACACACACGTGCTACACACACACACACACAAACAAACAAACGAAAACAAGTGTGGCAGTGTATATTTCCATGTTCTAGCGGTAGACTCATTCGATTTTGCTCATCATAGCATGAGCCCAGCCGCAAGGTTGGAGACTTACCTGCTGTCTCTCTCTCTCTCTCTCTCTCTCTCTCTCTCTCTCTCTCTCTCTCTCTCTCCTGTTTGCTTTTTTCAAGAACAAAGGGCGTCGGCCCCAGGAAGTTAAGAACACAACTTTATTATGGCTACCTGTTTGTATGTGGATTCAAACTTGGGTCTGTATTTCAAAAGTTTGTGGGTGTACCAACTGAGCTATGCCCATTGGTAAGGGGAGTTTTCTTTCGAAAGTGCTCCTTTCGAATTCTGTCTGATAACTTTCGGGAAATGCCTCGTTTTCAAAGGCCATGAATATGAAAACATTGTTTCAACTAAACCGAAAACAACAACAACATGCCCCTTGCACATTGCGACAGAAGGCCAAAGCCTGAACACTTCACTGCCTTTGAAAATAAAATTGCCCGGTCTGCGGCACATGCATTCAACTATTTTTCAGAAGCGACGAGCATATGTGCCCCAGATTGGGTCCTTTTTCTTTTCAGAAGCAGCGAGAGAGAATTCTTTTCGAGGCGTTGGATTTTGTCAAAAAGAACACAGAGGGGCACGTCGCATTTGGTGAATGCAGGAGCGAAGGCCCGCCACTGGGCTTCTGCGCTGACCAGGCTCACGGGAGAAAAAAAAGGACAGTTTGTCAAAGAGAACAAAGATTGAGCTTCTGCGCCGACGACCCGCTCTCGCTCCCGAGTGGCTGCGCTTCCGCACAAACACGGTTTACCGTACCAGTTTGATTGTGGGGTAGTGCGTACTGTGGGTCGTGACTCGTGAGCACAGGGTAGCTACTGGAGGAGCGGGATGCGCGGGAGTGCAGATGTCTGGAGATTGCGTGGAGGAGGAGGAGAATGCAAATTGCGCTGAGGAAAAAGAAGAGTGGAGGCGCGCCCTCTCTCTCTGGTGAAACCCCAAAGATTTGGAAGATAGAACGCTAGGGGGGCGGGAATTGAATGGGCCCCTCCGGGAAGTGGGTGTTTTAATTTTCTTTTTTTTTCTTTTTTTTTTCACTCAATTTCACCCTCACACTACCTAGCTACCACTACTCCTAATTGTAGGAATAGGAACCCCGTAGCAGCCAGAAACGTGAACCGAGAGAACAAGCGGGGGCTGCTCCCGACCTGCAGGTAGGCGATACCGGCGAGGGGACAGCAGACAGCATCAGCGACCATGCCAACAGGACCAATCCCTGTCTCTCCCCTCAGGTCCCAGCCTAAACCGGGGGCTAGGTCCCACTTGCACGAATTAAGAGATATAGACCGTAGATAGCAAGGATCAACGGGCGAAATCTCGTTCGTAATTTGCGCAAGTGGGACCTTGCCCTGGGTAATGGCCCCGGTACTACGACGAGCGTTGTACACTTTTAATATGGGACGCTGGGCCCGGTTCCCAGCACGTGCTGCTCCCCACGAATAGACGGGAGGAAGAAAAAAAAAAAGAAGCGTTGATGCGCGCATGAAGGTGGAGACGCGAGAGCGAAAGAAAGGTGTGCGCACGGGGCGTAGGAGAACGGAGATGGTGCGTGCACGGGAGAACGAACATAACGACAGAGCGGGCAAATGAACGTAAGGGACGCAAGGGGGAAGGCTGGAAGAGGGAGGAGAGCGCTAGAAGAGGGAGACGAGCGCGGGTGTGGAAAGTGAGGTTGTGCGCAAGTGGAAGGAGGTGAATGCGTGCAACGGGGAGAAGGTGAGCACGCATGGGGGCAAGAAGGGAGAGCACGGCGGATAATAACACGGAGACGCGGAGGAAGAAGACACGCGGAGATGGATGATGACCACGGAAAAGAACACACGAGACATATACACGCGAGCGAGCCAACGAACGGGAACCCAAGTTGAGGGAAAGAGAAATCGCGTGGGGGGCCCCACAGAGAGAGAGAGAGAGAGAGAGAGAGAGAGAGAGAGAGAGAGAGAGAGAGAGAGAGAGAGAGAGAGAGAGAGAGAGATTATTACTCGTTTTTGTGACTCTACATAAGTTACACCTGTTGTTATTGCTGCTGTTATTTTTCCGTTGTCTGTTGTTGTGTTGCATTCACTTGAATTTCCGCTCGAGATGTGGGTGTGATTGTAGTTAGGTACGCGTGGAACTTGACAATGTGTTCTACTTCGTGCTAAGTGTTCCTATTCGTGATCGTGCGCAGGCGATCTTAATCGTGAGCATCGTCCCTTTCCGCCGTCGTCGGCAGCTTTCCCCCGTCGAAGTCTTTTATTTTCCTCCCGTTGCGATGATCGCCTCCACTCTTAAAGGTGCTCTTGGTTCAGGCGTCTTTGTTTCGAATTTCCTCTAAATCTGGCCACAGCTTCGGCCAGGTACATCCAGGAGAATCTCGGAGGAGAGAGAGAAGGCCAGAGAGCTTGCCCAGCTTCCGTGGGTAGTCCGAGTGAGTGTGCGCCTTTAGAGAGTCCGAACCCTTGTCATGATGAGTCGATGACAATCCGACCGAACAAGCCTGGCATAAGTTGCATAACCATACCTTTCTTTGAAATTGTGTTTATCGAACATGACAATATATTAGAGAGTAAGAGCGAGTGCGGGAACTGACCTGATGGCCGGATGACCAGCGACCAGCGAAATGCGACCAAGCCGAGCGTGAGCGAGCCGGCCGATGCTACCCTCTTCCCACGAACATAACGCACCCTAAAAATGAATGTATACAAGCTAATTTCCGGCCAGATACAGCCAAAATGAGGGTGCGTGTTGTTCGGGGGAAGACGGTCGTTGGTGCAACCGTTCTACCGTGGAAGTGTATTGTCAG